ATTAGTCAAAACATATTGGGTACAGTGTACCATCTTCCGTCTTTCGCATTCTGGGGCTCTCTGTTTCAGACTAGGAGAACACAGGCGTTCTAACAGCGAAACAAATGTTCTAGAGAGTCTCTTTGTCCCCAATCATTCAAAGTCTAACGCCGCGGCAAGATGGACCCCGAGGCCGTAGCTGTGGCCGTCTTAACGCTAACTGCCTTCGCTGTAGCACTCACAGTTGCTACGATAGACAAACGGACATGCAGACACCCCGCCTACCACCGTTTCAACTTTTACCACGACTACATTTGAGAATGCACTGCATGCTCCTTGTACTGATTGGTTTCATGAGAAACTAAGGTTTGACCGCGATCCGTTCATACGCATCTATCGAGAGGTATACGCTGCCTACACACAAACCTGCTACCAACAGTAAAGGCCCACTATTTAAGCACTTTGCTCTAGCATTGCTGTGCTTGGTACAATGAGGGACTGTGGACGAAGCTGCCACGGTGCTGGGGATTTCCCTGCCTCGGCCTGTTGTATTTTAGAAACGAGCTTAGATGTCCTCAGCACCGTGGCAAACAAGTACATAGCTCTTCCTGGTGCGACTGAAGTGCAAACAGTCGAGGACGGCTTCTTTGCGGTAGCAGGCTTCCCCCGCTCGAAGCTCTTTAGTTGTGCCCTCAGCGCAGGTGGCGTCAGCGCACGCTGCGTTGTCCGGCTCCTCCATACCAATACCAAATGCCAAATGAAATTTGTAGCTCTTAAAAATACCGCGTTACTGGAAACTGTTGGCTGAACTGTGGCTTAGCGTTCACTTAGACATTACACAGACCAGAGACGACCCTCTCGCAGATTACACTTGGACAAAACGTTTTCCCCCTAACCCCCATCAACACCTCCGTCGCAACTTGCTATTCCGTCACCTAAACCGTGACCTTAAAAAAAACACGTTTTGAAGCGCACAAGTCTGAACACCATTAATAACGGTCGGTCCTCTGGAACTGCCAACTATGAACTCCTTTGAGAGAGAACAGCATCGGATTCCCCCAACCACCGCAACTCAGTGTAGCTTGCCCGGCACGAACAATGATTGGTGTTTACCTCCCCAGAGGTTGCTTTAATGTTTCTTCACGGCAAATCTGGCACCGACCCCAGCCGCCAAGATCCCTTCCGTTGGTACAGATATGCTGGTTATTGCGAAGAAGAAATTTCGCGGAGGTTGGAATGTTTGGCTTGCTGTTAAAAGCCTCCATCCCATTTCAACGTACTGGATCAGTCAGATACTGCCAATGTGTATTCGAGATAGGGACGAGGATGAATTTCGTCTGTGTGGAACACCAGCTGCCCCAGCGGCGACTGGGTGGGTCCTGAAACAATTCCAATCGCCGCCGAGGTCGCCCCTAATAACGTCACTGGATTGAAGCTGTATTTTAGACATGTGGTCCAACGTAACACCTTCCGCGTAGCTGTTCTACGTAGTGATGAGCCGGGGAACGTTATAACAGAGCTCAACACCACGCATCGGACTCGGGCCAGTCATCTAGTTCTCGATGCGATAGATAACGGACCAACAATTACTCCTAACCCAACCTAGTCCTTACTTAGCAGGATTCGTATATCCAACAATAATTTATCAGACGCTGAAACGAAGTCCCAAGCTGCATCAAAGGAACCTAAAAAAACAGCTCACACGGGCTTCGGTATCAAAGTTGAAGAACACAAAAACAACTTGACCGCAACGAAGGAGGTTCAATATCCCGATCATCAACAACGTTCCTCAAGCGCCAAATAAGCGCCAGACACCGGCAAAAGCCAACGCACGTCGCCAGCGTCGCACCCCAAAATGGCTGCAAAAGTGAATGCCGCCGACCACGTGAGTGTGCCGGGGATCCGGAAGAGATTTGCATGGACGTTGCTAGAACTCTAGCGGCGAAGAAGATACTTCAAATGTAGTGAGGAAGCAGATATCAACACTATCGGTCGATCGAAGTTGAAATTCTGTTTTCCTGTCTTCAGATCCAATTTCAAAAAAAGACTACTTCTCCACTTGCATTTCCGTCTTCTAGTTCAC